ACTGTTGTGCTCTTTAGTATAGCCTAAAGTTTAATATCTCCTCTATACAGAGGAAGTGAAGACGCTGTTTTCCTGAACCACCCGAGTCCAACGGAGGGTAGTCGAGGACTCGAGGCCCGGCCGGAAGTTGGATTAGCTCAAGGACCTTGGAGTAGCCTAGAGAGCACGTAGGACAAGTCGCTGCCGCGTAGCTCAGCCCAGATATGTAGGCGCCCATAAAAGGACTACCAATTACCTGATAGCGAGCTACCTGGCCGCGCTCCTCTCACACCTCCCTCGCTCTGCTGCCGCCACGACATGCCCGGCCAGCCACACCATCGCCTGCCCCACACACACACACACACACTGACGTGCGCGATGGCCGTGTGGCCCACCTGACTGTGTAGCACACCGTTGCTGACCATGCACACGATGGTGATACGTGGCCATCTCAGTGTGGTTAATGGTGGCTCCGTGGCTGCATTACCTTGGCCAGTTTTGCATGGCTTCTCGTAGGACTGGTCGCATTGCTTGTTTGTCTAGTATCATATGAGAGTCGTGAGTAGTGTTGTCATACTACTCGAGTCAAGTGCATCATGTATGACACGTTAATGTCCAAGCTGTAGGTTAATTCCTGAAAGCAGCAGGTGGTGTTAGGGCAGGGGAGGGCACACACTCCCCTACCTCCCAGCCATACATGACTTGCTGACTCTCACGGCCCCATTCCCTTGTTCACGCCGACCTGCCGCACCTCCTGGATATCTCATATCTTGATGAACAAATCCTGTTGGAATATATGATGTTTCCCAATAGCGATCTTTCCTTACTAATGAGTGTATGTAAAGTCTCTGTTCACTGCATCTTAACCTTATAAATTGTCGTGTCCAGTAGAAAGTTAGATTATTGTAATTATTTATTGAATATTTTCAAATTCTCGAAATCAGATTATGAGAAGAAAAAAAATAAGATAGCCTTTGTGGGGGAAGGTTTGTTAGCATAGTTGAAAGCTGTAACCATTGTTATTATGAAGGCTTCTTCCCAGAAACTTTACTTGTGAGTGGCTTTTCTTCTGAGTGCATCTCGCTGCACACTTGACTCAACTCCGAGTTCGGTGAGGTGTATGTCTGTAGCAGAGTCTGAGCGATCTACACGCTGTCGCCAGGTTACAGATGCACATTAATACATCATGAAGTCTATGAGGTCAACTAGCAAATTTCAGAGGTGACACTACAGGGATCAAACAGTATAGAATGACCTTAAGAACATCACGACCCCCTCCCCTCGAAGGTTAATGCGTGTTGACTACAGCCTTGCTAGCCTGACACCTCCAGAGTTTGTCTTCTTTTTTTTTTTGATGAATGGACGGATCCGTGTCAGGATATACCTTGTATATTCTACAATACTTGATATGACACCCGGGCAGATGACCAATTGGACACTCGGTATGGTAGATGGATAGATAGACAGATGAGTGCCAGCATGGTAAGTGGATGGATAGATAAATGCGTGTGACACGATAGGACGGAAAAAAGCTGGTTATGAGGATGGAACACAAGACTGGCCGTCCTACACTCAAGTGTTGGGTCACCATACAAGTTTAATACAACAAAATGTACTTCGAGTCACAGAGGCCTCTGTCACCTAGGCCACACACCACCTCAACCTCAGTCTTTACCATATCTTATGTCATCCCTCTCTGTGACTCTTACTGACCCAGAATAACAACAACACTCCCTGTCCCAGGTAAAAATGTTTAGCTCTGGATGAACACAACCTGTATATTTCTTTTTGTCATCAGTAAACTTCCTGTTCAACCTTACGTAACACTTGTAATGTCTTTGTAGGTAAGAGGCAGGACATTCCAACCCAAAGTATCTCTTCCTGTAAGTGCTCGCCTCCTATCCTAAAGGTTGCTGGATTGCACCCAGGACAATCCAAATTCAACCATATGTAAATGGGTACCTAACATTACAGTTTGGGATTTGAAGATAGTCAACTGCAGTGCCATCCACACTGCCACCTTGTGTACTGTTGACTTGGTATATTGTGATGTATCAGCATTGCCATTAACAAGCCACTTTCACTTTCAACATTTCTCACTGCTGGAAAACATCTTTGATTTAGTCATCATTACTTAATAGTCACTATCATTTCACTCCTTCCTATGCTAGTTATTAACGGGCTATGTGAGGCACACAACTTGTAAAAAGAGGTGGACAGGTGAATGTCTCAGATGCAGCCAAAAATGAAGTCTCCTTAAACTCTTATAATTACCTTCCAATACATCTAATTTTCCTAATCAAGTGTATGGAAAGCCATCAATAAGCTACTCTCTTATCTTCAATCTTCCCCTTTACCAGTGGTCATCAGTATGGCTTTTGCCAGACCAGGTCTCTGTTGACCTTCTGAAGTATGTAACTAACCTTTTATCACAAACACCTAGATTTTCAGCAAATACTGTGTGGTTGCCCTTGGCAAGAGCAAAAGTTAGGATGAATAGCTTTCCCCAGCATCTGATAACTTTCTTAAAGTTTCTCGTGATATCCAGTGTTCCCTGAAGGTCTGGACTTGAACTAAAGGTCATACAACTACTGGACAGGAGTATTGTAGAAGAGTAAGATGTACAGTGTACACACTTGTGAATGTTGCTGTTGTAATTCAAACACTCATAACAATCGCCACAAAAACCTATTTTGAAATGTGTACAGTACAGGCATTCACAGATTGGTTTTCGATATTCAGATCACACTTTCCCCACAGACTTCCCATATAAAAGCTGAGATAAAAAAAAAAAAAAAATATATATATATATATATATATATATATATATATATATATATATATATATATATATATATATATATATATATATATATATATATATATATATATATATATATATATATATATATATATATATATATATATATATATATATATATATATATATATATATATATATACAGTATATATATATAAAATGGGACAAAACAAGTTTACTGACAAATTTTGGTGTATACTGTACTGCACAATGATTATAAACCAACAATAAACATAAGTGAAACACAGCACCAACAATAAACCCAATGCAATAAATATATAAATTTTGAGATGTTTCGCTTTCACTAGATTTGATTTCTGATGCCGTTTTATCTTGAAGAATTAATGACCTTACCAATTTAACATTTTATTCCCTCTATGGACATCAGATTAACCTTTGGGATATTAAACACTTAAGTGTTTCCACAATAGAAATATTTGGAGTCAGCCTCTTCCCACCGCTTCACACAACGATCCTGTGAGCTACGATTGCTAAAACACGACAGTACTGTATACATGTAATTTATTTTCATTTTAGTTAATATACAGTATACTGCATGTTGTTTTTAGCTTAACTGTCTTTATAAATTGACCAGGTCCATAGCAGTTAGTCCTGAGATGACCGTGTCAGCAACTCAGCATCTTCTGATGCAGTGAAAAAAGAAGAAAATAATACCATTGGATTTTTATACAATATGTAAATTGAAACAATGGGATTTTTTTTTTCTCATAACTTAAGATTTTTTAAACCAGATCTTTGTAAATCAGGGACTACCTGTATACTGTATAGATTATTTTAAGATGCCTTGAATTTTCTTTCAAACTTAACTTTTCCATTCCACATAAATGAGTACTAAAGATAACTTCATCCAAATTATATAGAAAGATGCATCGCAGTGTACATTAGTTCTCCTCTAAACAAAACTTTTCTCCTTACTTACTGAAGAAGACTTAGTAATATATGTGAGGTAACCAAAAGTTTTCACTTACAGTTCTTGGTTCACTAAAACACCAAGCTATTGTATCCTACAGATGTGTTAATTAAAGAACAATTAAATGGTATGACCTTTATTGAAGAAACTGTACATAAACAAAATCTGCAAGAAAAAAATACAAGAAATTAAAAAAAAAACTAATTATGTGTAGCAGAGGAGAAGTCAAATATTAAGAAATGATGAAGAAGAACAAGTAAACAAAAAATAAAAGAATATCTAACTGGTAATGAAATGCTTGTAGGTGAGATAGACTGCCGGTACACAGGAACAAGATGGAAAATGATAAAGTGAAGGTTAAAATATCCCGTATATGAGACTTTAATATAAGAGGAAAAACCAATGAGAGAGAATAGAGGAAGAAAGTAATTGAGACAGACAGCACAAGAGAAAAATAATAAAAACAGGCTAGGAGATGAGAGAGAGAAGAGGGAGGAAGGGGCAGTGGAGCAACACAGCAGGTAGTACTTATTCACCTCTTGTTCTCAACAACAGCTCGCACCCACCATGCCCATCTCCAACCCTGAAAAAGCTCAATATAAAATGATGGCATGATTCACAGACCCAAACAGCCAGTTAAAGAATAGTAATATGTGTGTTGGGAATATTGTGAACGTGGAAAGCAATATACACATACATATTACATTTATCATTTAGCCAACAATTAAAACCAATATCATGCTAACAAGTGATGGAGAGAATGCAAAGCACATTATGGATCATGAATGTGAGTGAGAAGGGTTCATCTAGAGTTCCAGCAGGAGTAAGAGGCAAAATTCAAGAAACCTATACAGTACCTATAGCTCATCTACCATATCATTTTATGTGATGGGCAAGTGCAAAATATTCTATAACTTTATATCATCTAATTTTTCATCATTTAGCTCAAATTTTCTGTGATGAATGAACTGCTAACTTCAAAGATACATAGAGCAAATTCTTAAATACACTATGCAGTTTCTCTACCTAATCTGAGTTGATATATTCCTATCCTAAATTAGTTATATTCATCTGTATTTTAACTTCTTCAGATTTATTCCTACTATAATGTAATCATTAAAAAAAATTTGAGAAACAAGATTTTTAACATGTTAACAAGACTGAGTGATACCCTATTATAAAACAACACCACAGCACATATACATAGTCCAACACAGCACTGTAATGACCCATCAAACAGTCATTGTTTACGAGAAAATAAAACAAGTCTTTAGCATTTTATCTTCTTTTATCATTTTTATTTTACAGTTTCATTTTCTTGTAATTTTTTCAAGTATTTTTTCTTTTTTTCATAATTCCTGAAAATAAACTTATCTGCCAGTGAGGCTTTTATCATTTTGAGTATAAAATAGTTCACAGAGTACACACTATAATACTTCTTAACAAGAGTGTTGGGTCCCTGTCACAATACATAAATATATAAATACACCCACGAGAGGCTCTGCAGCTGGTACATTAATATTACAATAATTATAACTGAGCTTCATCAGACTCTGAGGACTATATGACAGTTGATGCCTGAATGGTTGATTGCACAAAATGGAAAAAAAAAAGTGGGAAACATACATAGAATATACAGTACATACACACACACATACAATCATCTATTCATACATATGTATCGATACATTTTTTTTTATATTTTGTATGTCTGGTCTAGGGGGGCTGTCAACTTCGTTACTCTGTTAACATTAGTTTTCTAATTAAAAAAAAAATATTTTTTTCATCATAAATATGAAATAACTACAGTACAAGTTAATGAAAGAACAAGAAAATACAAAATATACATTAAATTTTGAGGTTTCATTCCCCTACAGAAGCCCAGAAAAGTCGGATACAAATGTGTTTTATTAAGCAATGACTGTTAGCATGACACCTAAGAGGCCCCTCACCATACGATATCATTTCAAAACACAGTAGAGGTGAGACATGTTAATACTTCTGTAACATTTTGACACAAGCAGCACAGAGTATGTTAGAACTAGAGTACAATGTACAAAACTACAGTACAATGTACACAACTACAGTATTGTGTCAACATACATAAGTGAGGTATTGAGTCTACATCGTTGAGTACATGCAGAGAGCTTGGAGGGAACATCATTTGCTTACAATAGGTTGTTCACTGCTACAAATAATCCAAATCATTTTGAAAGAAGACAATGGCCAGAGTAAACGGTTTCTATCCAAATCATGGGAAGTATATAGCTATCTTACACCCTGTATTATGCTTTAATTTAAAAGATGTAACATTAAAAATGATTCTTTAAACAACCTGAAAAACACTTGGTGTTCACTGCAAAAAAAAAAAAAAAAAATTCATCAAACCTTTTTTTAACCCTATTTGTAACCCTTTAAGATATACAGTACTGTACACTCAAGTCAGTTAATGAACACATCATCACAAACATTATCGTTATGTAAAAATTATCCATTGTAAGTAAAGGAACAAGTACTCTTTTTTTAAGATGTCTTTATTCTAAAAATGTGCACTGGCCAGCACAGTACAATACATATATGACTCCCAACCCACTGGCCCTTATTATCTTTCACCCTAAAAAAGAAGGCAGCCTCCTTCTTTACATCTCAACAAGTGAGAGTTCATTTTGGTATACTGTACTGTACATATTTACAATCTACCAAATAGCTACATGATATTCAACAACTTAAATGTGTGATGACCTGATCATATGACTTGGGTGTAGGTTTCTCCTCACCACTATCCCCTACTATACTTCTAAGAAAAATTAAACAAACTTTTTATCTTAAAGTTTGGTCCATGTCACTATAGTTGAAGAGCAATAAATATGAGAACTACACCCAAACTTACACATTCAAACAAGCAAGCAGAGTTAGAAATATGGACAAAATCTATAATTATTAAGAATCAGCTGAGGAATTTTGGAATAAGCCCTTCACAATATGACTTTAAACACCAGGCATTGTACCACTCCAACTAGGCAACTCTGACATCACAACACAGTACAATGACCTCTTATCACCTGAGTAAGAAATCTATACTGTAAACTGTACTGTGTCCAGTTTTGGAAGGGAGGATATACTGTGACAGGTGACAATCATGTTAGTTTCCTATAGCAGTAGAAGTGATCAATTCTTGTTCAAACTTCATTTCAACTGACACACACTTGAACTGTTTCGAATTTACAACCAATTATTCATAGTGTGTGAAACGAACTGAAGTTTATTTTCATATACTGTGTGTGCGTGTGTTACTGTGTACAACAAGAATATACCATTATGCTCTTGTGCACAGTACAGTACAGTGAAGTAGGGCTATAGGTTATATGGTATTATACAGTACAGTATATTAAAGCTGCTACAGATAGGAACAGAAAATTCACTTTTAAATGTTAAGTCCTAACTTCATATTTTTGTTTTTTTAATTTGAAACATACAGTACAGTACAGTGCCTATATTTTATTTATTTATTTATTATTTTTCAATATTGGTATTTGGATTATAATTACCTGAACTGTATTTCCTCTTTATATTAAACTTCTAATACCTAAAAAAAAAAAAAAAAAAAAAAGGCAGAATTGTATGTATCATTAAAATTTTCACTATGGTTTGAAGCAAAATTTACATGAAAAAGAAATTACATTTCATATGACACAGGATGTAAGGGCTTAAACTTGCTGATGTTTTAACAATTATAATTTTGTGTAGCATAAATACGATGGTGCACCTAACACTAAACTACTACCTGCACAGCATACAATAACTAGGGTGTGTTGGCACAGTCGCACTTGTTATTCGAATATAAACAAGAGAAAGTAACGAATGCTGACCACCTTCATGGGCCACTAAGAAAGTGTCAGCCACCACATGCAGCGTCTGGGAGATGTAAACTAATACAGTAATAATAATCCAATTTCACCATTACTGAACAAACACACCCTCTCTCAGCCACTCATGAAGTTTGATAGGGATACATAAGGCGTGATACCACTAATAAATGTCTTACATCTTAAACCAAGTTACAAAATATTCTGCCAAATGCCTCAGACATCTGAAACAATCCTTTAAACTCATGGTATTTAAAACATTAAATTTTGATATGAAAATTCACAGATTTAGACGTAACAACCACAAACAAAACATCGTCTATCATAAATTTGATTTATGAAAGAAACAAAAGTGTGATTAGTAATGCAATGAATAACCAGAATGGCTGCATTATGATAAAACAAATAGCTACACTCTGAACACTTGCATCTCCTCTAGCATCAAGATGGAATTCCCATTTTTTCAATCAAAGTTTTTATCACTGCAAAATAAGGAAGTTTTTTTTTTCAGCAACATTTTCAATAATAAATTCATGAAATTATCATAATACAACATTGGCACCACTGGACACTATGAGCTTAAGTAAGATGCATCAGACTACTGTATTGTTGTGTAGTTCCCAACCAGCCAACACCACAACACACCTCACCTCCTTTATGTTCTGTCTCAAGAAAGGACAGTGATTCTTTTTATGTATTTTGAAATTCTATGTACATCTGGAATCCACCTTCATAAAATATCATCAAATTTGTCCAGCATGATTCTCTTTCATGTCTCATTACAGACTCTTAACCAAAAATAAAAGATCAAATGAAGCAGATTGTGTTTTACTGTATACATGTAGTATATATATATATATAGATTTAGATTTATGGGTGGAATCACAGATGAAAAATAAAACAAAAAACTTGCCTGTACCTGTGAATTACTGATAAAACCCTAGAACCTTGGGTTAATAATATTTAGTTTCACATAACAAGAGAAATTGTACTTTAACGTGCCTCATCATTTGATGAATGATAAAAGCTTTACGTACTAATATTAGCGGAATGAATAATACTACCACGATAGGCTTCTTGGCTCTTGTTGCTAACTCCTAAATGCCCCACAAGTGCTAAGTCACTCTAGGAGAGCACTTAAGCATTTCAGGAAGTTTAACTTAAATTCCAACAACTCAAGTGAAAACAAATGAGGATATGACTTTCACAATGGTTACATTAACATCAAACTGGAGATAATTCCAGTTGAGTAAAACAAGACTCTTGAGTCCCACATTTCACATGGAAAAGTTATTCTATACACCTTTGTATATCTTAACCCTCAACTCTTATAAGTAAACACCACCACCAACAACACCTTCAGTTGAGTGAGACTACGGGCTGGGTACTGTACCGTGCCTACAAACTGCCACTGACTTGCTTTGACTCAACTTTCATTACTTGTGAAAGAAAGTCCACTTGAGTGAAACTGCTGACATTTTCACAACCTCCTCTGCTAAGTTACTAAAGTGCAACAGTCTAGTCATCACTGCCATATTCTTTTGTTGTAAATTATATTATCCTTCAATATTTTCTATTTTATATTTTAAGTCCATCTGTAAGTTTTCTTTTTGCTTCTACTGATACAAATGGCCTCAACATATTCTTGTATAATTGGACCAATTAATTAAGTTCTTTGTGTACAGTGAGTACAGTACTATCTTTGTTGGCCATATAATCTCTACTTTCATTCTATATAGATTTTTAATAATTAAAAAAAAAATTTTCACTGACAATAGATCACTTCCATTTGAAAGATCAAAATAATTTCATAACTTAAAAACATAATTTCAACTAAACTTTAGCACTTTTATAAATAAGACAGAGATCTCTGTGTCTTTCACCATTATTGTCACTGAAATGCTATGATTTGAATACCAATCAAATGATAAAGAAGGCACTCCAGTGATCCACTTACAGTATGGCACTCACTATACTGTACACATAAAGTAAAGTAACTCAACTCTTACACAAGCGATATGTCTTAAAAGAACTTTAAATTTATGTTCAAAATTTGTGTTACTTTTTTCATTTACTTTGTATAATTTTTTTCTAATGACAGTGAAAGGGAGGACAAGTACCAGCCAAAATCTCTGTTAGGTACCAAAGTGTTGTGGTGCTGCAACTTGTCCACATCAGTCTATCTCTGCCTTACCACGATCTGCTTCTTTGAGGTGAACAACAAGATCGTGTGGCCCGGCAGCCAACTGGGGTGGCTCAGGTGTGAGGACATCAGGAAGTTCAACGCTTGATAACCTCTGTTACAAAAAAAATCATACAATAGTTAGCACAGTCACACACACACATACATTGAAAGCACAGTACTGTCATTATCATTTACAATATACCACACCAAATATCATTAGTTCATAATATACCAAAGGGCCACATCAATGTTATATAACCCATCACTGACACTAAAGGTTTACACAGTGTCAAGCTATATAGAAGAATAATGTTACCTCACATACACAGTATACATTTTTTCCAAGTCTCATACTATATCTAGATCCAACAATATTTATAAGAGAGGTAACCTGAAATGGCTCCCAGATAACACCACTGCTATAAAATACCAACAAACTACTGGAACTCTTTTTGCCCTCCATCAAACCTCCTTTTTTCTCAAACTTTATTTCAAACAAAATATTCTATTTACTCAATGACTCAATCACATTTCTCCTCACTTGGGCCAGCAGATACAATACAGATGACAAAATTAAACTCATCCTCTTATATCTCTGCCCAAAAATCTGCTTAAAATGTGAATGGGATCAGGATATAGAAGTGATCCCCCCAGGTTATAGTCAACCCTCACTTTACGCGGTTAATGTAACCCAGGGTACCGCGGAAAGTGAGGAACGCGTAAAGTGAATAACATAACATATGGGATTAATTGAAATAGAGTCCAGGCCGACCCCCAAACTCCACTTTTTGACGACACACAACTATGTTGTAGTAAAAATATTATCTTAACTTTATGATGGCATGCACACACAATTAATAATTAAGAGAAATATCAATAATATTAGGTTTTTTAACACTTACATTAGTAGAAAAGATGGCTGGGCACACGGGGATGGGCGGTTGGTTCCGAGGCAGAGGGCAGATTATTGGCCCTCACCTGTATCACTTGTATCAATTGTATCACTATCCACCACAGAGGCTTGCAGGGCCTCTTTGTCAAACCCCCCAAAGTTCATATAAGTCCACATCCTCACTATAATTATCACTATCACTGACTTGGGCCGGCTGTAGTGGGTGGCGGGTGAAGAACTGGTAATGTTTTGATGACTGGGCGACCTTGTGCGCACCATGTTCACGCCGCTTACACAACATGGTGGATGGCGGGAGGTTTGGATCCAAAAATGGCGCGGCTCGCCAGCCGCTCTCCGCATAATGGGGTACACGCACCGCGGAATGTGAGCATGTTAGGTTCCGGCAGGGCACCGCTTAAACGTGGAAACGCGGAATGTGGGACCGCGTAAAGTGAGGGTTGACTGTATTATAAAAAAAAAAAACATGTCATGAAGCCAATGGAAAAATGAGGAAGAGTGAGTCAGTGTGTAAAATTATAGGACATCTCTTCATGCCACCCCACAGGTAAGTGTGCTGAAGCTGCATCAAGTGAGTGGGATGACAATTGGTATAAAAGTTAACAGTACAGTGGAGTCTGGATTTACGAGGTTTTGGTTAACGCGTTTGGTCATTTTCGCGGTGCCTTGCCAGAATCGATATGCTTTAATTACGCGGTAAATTTGGTCATTTACGTGGCGAGTCGCTGGAGGGTCCAGAAGCGCCGCGCCATTTTGGATTCAAGCGGCCCGCCATCCCGTCAAGCGGCGCGAGTAAGGTTGCGCAGTATGTCGCTGTTGCGTTATTGGTGATGTCATATGACGTATCGGACTGTGATTGGGCCACACATCCTTACCTCTCTCTCCCCCGCTAGCTGTGATTGGTTTAATGTAATATGACGTGCCCTGCCATGGGAGGGAAGAAGTCGCTGACCTAGCAGGGCCTGCCTCATTGTTCTCAGTCCGCATATACAGTTCTCTCTTGTGCCTGCTATTCCCCTCACAATGGCTTCTGCTGGACCCCCACCACCAGAGAAAAACATTGAATTACCTGGACCAAGCCATGATTGTGTGAAGGAAATCATCGAGTTGGGAGAGAAAATTAAGCTCATCCTTAACAACGACCCAGACAAGCATCTGTATGAAGTGTCTAATACAGGGCTGGATTCAGGAGTGGGCAGCTGCCCAGGGGCCTCCACACATTACAATATTTTATTTATTTGTTTATTCATTTGGATTATTTTTATTTTCATTCTTTAAAATTCATGTTTATCTATTCCATCACGTAAAACTATGTTCAGCAAGAAGCGTGATAGAAATTAGGCTAGCTACTCCTTGAAATTCATGAATACCTGGTTTTCCTATGAACCGTATATTTTTAATGAATGCTATTGTTTGTGTTGCTAATAATATATTTAGAATTCCACAAACATATATTGATTAAAAATGGACTACATGGAATAACGAAATTGAGATTAAAAAAAACAAATAAAATATTTTTTCATTCCATTACGAATGCTATCAGGGCGCTGTGTTCTAATTTCCTCAATATAACTGCATATGGCTTCAAAATTCTCCAAAGAAGTGTTCAAATTTCAAAATTTTCCCGGGGGGCTTACAGCGCCCCCCGGAACTCCCAGATGTTTAGGCTCACTTCACTCGCCACCCCACCCTTTTGGGTAGTTATAATGATGGGGGCCTCCATAAAGAGGCTGCCCATGGGCCTCCACAGGTCTAAATCCGGCACTGGTCTAATAACCATTTGACGAAATTTATGGAGCCGTATATCCAGATCTATCTCGACAACATCAATGCTAGTCGTCAACCTAGTATTGAGGACTTCCTCGCCCGCAACCCACCACAACCACAGGTTTGTCTGGGAGGCCCTGCAAACCTCTGCGAGTAGTGAAAGTGAAAGTGATTCACCGGAGGGCAACTAATCTGCCTTCTGCCTCGGAACCAGCCGCCATCCATGTGTGCCGACCCAGCTTTTCTACTAACGTAAGTGTTAAAAAACCTAATATTATTGATATTTCTCTTAATTATTAATTATGTGTGCATACCATCATAAAATTAAGATGTTATTTTTACTACAACGTACGTATTGTGTCGGAAAAAGTGTAGTTTGGGGGGTCGGCCCAGTCTCTTATTTCAATTACTGTAATCCCATACGTTCTGTTAATTCCTTTACGCATTTCTCGTTTTACGCGGGCCTCCACGGGCTCAGTTGACCGCGTAAATGCAGATCCCACTGTACATAATGTATCAAAGGATTTAAAATCCTTAGTTCTGGTAGTTTTAGAATTTAGATTTTGCCTCAAGCTGGAGCCCTGGAAGGATTCTGGGGCAGAAGTGGGACCTTAACACTGCCACTTCATTACTATCTACTACCAGCACTAAGTTATCAGCATACAAACTTACATGCCAAACCAGTCCTAAAGTCCCATGATAATGCCTCTAGCACCATGATAAACAGAAGGGGGTTCAAGGAAAAAGAATAGTGAAAAAAAGGAGAGGAAAGGAATAGAGAGGAGTAGGGGGGAAAGAGGGAAGTGGGAGGGAGAATGAGGTAGGGGAGGGAAAGAGGTAGGGGGAGGAGGTAACCACAATGCCCAGCAAGTGTACGGTAGTGGCAGCTACTGTACTTAACCAATCCATGTGCTATCTGCCAAGAATGCACACTGAACAATCTTCTGCAAATTCAGTCCAGTTCTAAACTATGACCAAGTCTTACAGCAGTGGGGAAACATGTGCCTGTTGTATGAACCACACTGAGGGTCCACACACACACACACATATAGACTGAAGAAACAATTGCACTTCATTCGTTGATGTTTTGCTGTTATGTTAAGATGTCGTGTCGCTCAATCACTGATGTATGCACAGTATAAGGAAGTTAGAGACATGTTTTTGGCATTTGTTGATATATTCTTTATTCTAGCATTTATTTCCAATCATATCCATAAGTACACCTATATTTTCTAATTGTTTTCAATAATTATGGCAGTTTAAGATTGAGCATTAATGAATATGTTGAGTACGTATTATAGTTTTCACTGATAGCTCTCAACATCATCTGCAGTATAACAAAAAAAAGTGACACAGGAAAAAAAATTATGGTCTAAATAGATTTATCATGGCATAACAAAATCATGTATCCATACCTGTACTTGAACACTTGAGAAATAAGGAGTTTGCTGTACAATGATCCCTCGGTTAACGAGCGCCTCGGTTAACGAGATTTCAGTTAACGAATTACCTTCCATAACATTCTTAATTTCGTTTAACGAGCAATCCCTCGATTAACGAGTTTTTAACGAGCACCCCTCCACATGTTTTCGCTTGCACACTAGCTGTCATATTAGTCCGTCAATACATAATTGGTTCTAGGGCTTAAATTCCTTACTATTTTAGTAAATATCAAGAAGTTTGTACTACTCAATAATTTTAAGTCTTATATTAAAATATTTAGTTATATTAACAATTATTTAACATAATTTAAGTACAGGGAAACTAGTTTTTTGCGCGCCAAACAGCCTGTCAACACACCATACAGGCGTCAGTCTCTGTGTCTTTTCAGTGGAGGTAACACCTTGCTTCAGACTCTCTTCAACATAAACACTTTTTTTCTGTGTTTCCAGTCAGATTATTGGTCATTTTGAAATACATTTTTCATTTTGACATTACAGTATATAATGCAGTGCAGTGTTGATTTCAAGAAAATAATCTTGAATTACACCAAGTGAACTAAAATTTTATGGGTGAAATGGCACCATGGGGTGACTTCTCTTCCACCCCAATGCCTTCTCTTCTCCCTTCTCCTCCACCCTCATTCTAATTCCCATCATCATCATCCCGGAGCCTTCTACATACACCCCTCAAAGTAAGTGCACTTTACTACCTTTTTTGTTGATTTTTGGCAATTTTCAGTGAGCTGGAACCAATTACCCAAAAACCCATTGAAACAATGGTTTCGGTTAACGAGTTTTTCGGTTAACGAGCAACCTTCTGGAACGAATTGTGCTCGTTAACCGAGGGACCACTGTATTCATATTATTTCTAAATTTAACTCCAGACATATGCTACTAAACAATCCATAAAATAAAACACTTTACATGGACTCATATAATCAATAATAAAGATAACTACTATAAAGTAAATAGAGAAAACCGTAGATACCACAATTCATATTATAAAAAAAAATGCATATAATAATTAAGAAAAATTTTCATGACAATGATGAGAGAACGTGCACAATCTTATACCTTCAACAACACTACAAATTCTACTTGTCTTTCCCACAATCTACTGATAATTACTATTTATATGCATGCAGATTAATCACCTTACGCTAATAAACTTTAGACCAATACCCATTACAGAATACTGATGTTATATGAAACTTATAAGTAAGATTGACTAGCCTTCCCTGTTGCTACCTTACACCACACCACTGGTTACTTTCACAGACCTGTCTTGCCAACACCAAAGGGGGAGGCTTCATGGCTGCCCTCGAGAATGACACTCGATTGTTTGTGTGACTGCTGCGGTGACTTTGTCCTTGGTGGTGCCTTTCAGTGTGGCGGTGGTGGTGAGATTGTCTGGAGTGGTGGTTGTGATGAGAGGATGAAGGGCTGGAGCGATGTGACACCTGTACACTACCTTGGTGATACAAGGGACTTGAATGATGAGATGAATGAACTCTATGGTGCTGAGGTGGAGGGCTTGGGTGATGAGAAGGACTGGGGCCATGAGGATCAGGGGGAGATGGGGGTTTAGAATGATGAGATGGACTGCAACTATGAGGCGGAAGGTTGTGACAATGTGATGGAGAGAGAGTGCGATGGAAGGAAAGGGGGTAATTGTGAGGGTGGCCAGAGGAGTGAGGAGAATTGTGATTTGGAAGATAGTTGTGAGGATGGACAGTTAAATGGGTCGGGGGATGGGAAGGGTGGTGCACTGGGGGAGGGGTACGATAGTGGTTATTCTGGGGTTGCGGTGGAGGTATTGGGATGGAAGATGCTCCCAGTGAAGGCTGGGGTGATGATGTGATGCTCCTTAAAGGGTGGGCACAATGTACGTGTGATGATGAAAAAGTTGAGGATGCATCACACATAGAGGTATGTGTCAGTGGTGCTAAGTGGACATGTCCTAATTGCAGGGAATTTAATGTATGTTGTTGTTGTTCAAATTGGTGATGATGATGAATTTGTTCCCGGTTAAAATAAGGAGGATGACATGGTGGATTTTGCTGGTATTGTAGATGCTCTGATTGTTCATGGTATTGATGATGATACTGAAGCTGTTGTTGGTGGTGCTGAACTGCAATGTTATAATGGTTCTGGCTATGAAATGAAATGTGTAAAACGGGTGGTGATAACTGTTGTGACTGAGTATATGTAGATACTTGGGGAAAGTGTAATGCCTGAAGTGGAGACGGAGATTCGTAAGGGAAGTCTGGCTGGTGAGGAACTTGGTGGTGACTGTGATGAGAAGATGAAGGGTTCAGGCAATGCACAGGATGAAGACTAGACTGGTGAGGTAAGGGGTTCGGCTGATGAGATGATGAATCTCTAGGGTGGTGAGATGCTGGGTCAGTGAACAAAGGATTCTGACCAAGTATTGGAGTACACAAGTGGTCAATAGCAGTCACTGGTGCCACGCCCATCTGGCAGAATGCTGTGACAATGTTATTTCCACCACCACCACCACTTCCACTCGGTGTAACACCACCGTCACCACCCATTTTGTTGTTGTTGTTGTTGTTGTTGTTGTTGTTGTTGTCATCGTTATACTGAAGTGACTGCACCACATTAATAGGTATTAAAAGCAGCATCCATTAACACAATAAAATCAGATGACAACTAACATATAATAAAATGCATGGATAAGTAACACACACATTGAACTGAAAATTCCCACGATGGCAAAAGTACCTGAAATAAATGGCAGGACATGAAACACTCAACATACAGATGCTTCATGCTTCTCACTAAGAACAGGGAGACAATCCTTACCTGGTGTTGACATTATAGGAACATCAGAACTACTTTTCAATATTAAATCAGAGATGGGAAGGCCACACTTTGAATGACAACATTCCTATAGACAAAGCACAGGGAAAGGATTAGAATATACAGTAAACACAGAATGACAAGAAGAAAATTTCAAAAGGATGACCCAAATGAACAAAGCCAGAAAGAAAAATAAATTTACACGAGAAGCAGATGATAAACTTACCCATTTAATAATCAATACTATATAGAATGTCTCACAAACCCAGGAATGCTATGTAACCATGGCAGTTGGAGCCAAGATGGAGAAAAGGTATTTCCCCACACGACAACCCTCACCTTTTCAATGGTGGCAGGAAGATGTACTTGGTTAGATGGCTGGGAGATGATGTGTGATGATCAACATTCAACACACACAACTTGTATTTTATGTGTAGCCATAGTTACAACACCAATTACAACACAGGACCTCTCTCACTGTCTAACAACCATAGTTACAACACAGGACCTCTCTCACTGTCAAACAACCATAGTTACAACACAGGACCTCTCTCACTGTCTAACAACCTTAGTTACAACACAGGACCTCTCTCACTGTCTAACAACCATAGTTACAACACAGGACCTCTCTCACTGTCTAACAACCTTAGTTACAACACAGGACCTCTCTCACTGTCTAACAACCTTGTTACAACACAGGACCTCTCTCACTGTCTAACAACCATAGTTACAACACAGGACCTCTCTCACTGTCTAACAACCTTAGTTACAACACAGGACCTCTCTCACTGTCTAACAACCATAGTTACAACACAGGACCTCTCTCACTGTCTAACAACCTTAGTTACAACACAGGACAACTCTCTCACTGTCTAACAACCATAGTTACAACACAGGACCTCTCTCACTGTCTAACAACCATAGTTACAACACAGGACCTCTCTCACTGTCTAACCTTAGTTACAACACAGGACCTCTCTCACTGTCTAACAACCTTAGTTACAACACAGGACCTCTCTCACTGTCTAACAACCTTAGTTACAACACAGGACCTCTCTCACTGTCTAACAACCTTAGTTACAACACAGGACCTCTCTCACTGTCTAACAACCTTAGTTACAACACAGGACCTCTCTCACTGTCTAACAACCTTAGTTACAACACAGGACCTCTCTCACTGTCAACAACCATAGTTACAACACAGGACCTCTCTCACTGTCAAACAACCATAGTTACAACACAGGACCTCTCTCACTGTCTAACAACCTTAGTTACAACACAGGACCTCTCTCACTGTCAAACAACCATAGTTACAACACAGGACCTCTCTCACTGTCTAACAACCTTAGTTACAACACAGGACCTCTCTCACTGTCTAACAACCTTACTTACAACACAGGACCTCTCTCACTGTCTAACAACCTTAGTTACAGCACAGGACCTCTCTCACTGTCTAACAACCTTAGTTACAACACAGGACCTCTCTCACTGTCTAACAACCTTAGTTACAACACAGGACCTCTCTCACTGTCTAAGAACCATAGTTACAACACAGGACCTCTCTCACTGTCTAACAACCTTAGTTACAACACAGGACCTCTCTCACTGTCTAACAACCTTAGTTACAACACAGGACCTCTCTCACTGTCTAACAACCTTACTTACAACACAGGACCTCTCTCACTGTCTAACAACCTTAGTTACAACACAGGACCTCTCTCACTGTCTAACAACCTTAGTTACAACACAGGACCTCTCTCACTGTCTAACAACCTTAGTTACAACACAGGATCCTCTCTCACTGTCTAACAACCTTAGTTACAACACAGGACCTCTCTCACTGTCTAACAACCTTAGTTACAACACAGGACCTCTCTCACTGTCTAACAACCTTAGTTACAACACAGGACCTCTCTCACTGTCTAACAACCTTAGTTACAACACAGGACCTCTCTCACTGTCTAACAACCTTAGTTACAACACAGGATCTCTCTCACTGTCTAACAACCTTAGTTACAACACAGGACCTCTCTTATTGTCTAACAACCTTAGTTACAACACAGGACCTCTCTCACTATATGATAACCTTGATGGAAGACCCAAGGAGAAGAAGGACTTAACAGTCCTTCTCAGGATTTCTAGATCAATACTTCATTTATAACAGACAATGACTGAAATTAAAAAAAAATACAAAAGCTAACAAAGAAAATGAGAGAAGTGTGGTGAAACTTCAAGTGCTGAGTGACCATGAAAATATCCTATAATGCTCCAGTAGTTTGAGAGTTACACGTAAACTCCCCTCCTCCACACATGTCCTTGGTACTACCTGGTTCATCTGGAGAAGCAACACATCAAACATCCAGACACAAGGTTCCACAGCAAATAAAACCATTTTGATAATCATATTTCACTTTTTCATCCTTCAACTTGAGTGGAAGGAAGGAAGAAGGGAGGAAATATTTGCCATAAGTATCATGTAAAGTAGAAGTTCTCTGTGAGCAAGTCTCCATAATATATAACACACATCTGCAACACATGCTGTAATTAAAGTCATAATGAGAAACCCTCAGTTATGTCAGAAACCCAAAAGGTGTGAGAGAAGCAACAACATTAACCCTTAATGGCAGCTAAGGCTTCCTTACTACCCCACATAAACAAAAATGCAACGCAAGGTACATGAAACGTCCACTGATGATGGCCACCGTCCCCACAACTAACTTCCACTGATGATGGCCACCGTCCCCACAACTAACTTCCACTGATGATGGCCACCGTCCCCACAACTAACTTCCACTGATGATGGCCACCGTCCCCACAACTAACTTCCACTGATGATGGCCACCGTCCCCACAACTAACTTCCACTGATGATGTACCGTCCTAAACCCTTTCACTGATGATGAGGTCACCGTCCCCTGGCTTCTTCCACTGATGATGGCCACACGTCCCAGCTAACTTTCACTGATGATGGTCACCGTCCCCTGCTTCTTCCACTGATGTGTACCCGTCCCACAACTAACTTCCACTGATGATGGCCACCCGTCCCACAACTAACTTTCACTGATGATGGTCACCGTCCTAGCTTCTTCCACTGATGATGGCCACCCGTCCCACAACTAACTTCCACTGATGATGGCCACCGTCCCCACAACTAACTTCCACTGATGATGTACGTCCCCTAGCCTTCCCACTGATGATGGCCACCGTCCCCACAACCTTTCACTGATGATGGCCACCGTCCCCACCTTCTTCCACGATGATGGCCACCGTCCCCTTCTTTTCACTGATGATGGTCACCCGTCCCCCACAACTAACTTCCACTGATGATGGCCCACCGTCCCCACAACTAACTTCCACTGATGATGTGCAAGCCCACAACTAACTTTCACTGATGATGGTCACGATCCCCACAGCTTCTTCCACTGATGATGACCACCGTCCCACACAACTAACACTGATGATGGCCACCGTCCCCACAACCTAACTACTGATGATGTACCGTCCCACAACCTAACCTTCAATGATGATGTACCGTCCCCCACAACTAACTTCCAATGATGATGGCCGTCCCCTGGCTTCTTCAATGATGATGGCCACCGTCCCACAACTAACTTCCACTGATGATGGCCACCGTCCCCAACCCTTCCTGTTAATTATTTTTGCGTCCCTATAAGTAACTTCCGCGATGATGGCTGATCCCTAACTAACTTCCAATGATGATGGCCACCAACCCTGCAGCTAACTTCCACTGATGATGGCCACCGTCCTATAAGTAACTTCCACTGATGATGGCCACCGTCCCTTCTTCCCGCAGTAGTGTACGTCCCCACAACTAACTTCCACTGATGATGGCCACCGTCCCTATAACAAACTTTCACTGATGATGGCCACCGTCCCCACAACTAACTTCCACTGATGATGGCCACCGTCCCCACAACTAACTTCCACTGATGATGGCAACTGGCCCTATAACTAACTTTCACTGATGATGGCCACTGTCCCTACAGCTAACTTCCACTGATGATGGCCACTGTCCCTACAGCTAACTTCCACTGATGATGGCAACTGGCCCTATAACTAACTTCCACTGATGATGGCCACCGTCCCTATAACTAACTTTCACTGATGATGGCCACCATCCCTACAGCTAACTTTCACTGATGATGGCCACTGTCCCCACAACTAACTTCCACTGATGATGGCCACCGTCCCTATAACTAACTTTCACTGATAATGGCAACTGGCCCTATAACTAACTTTCACTGATGATGGCCACTGTCCCTACAGCTACCTTCCACCAGGCCCGGATTATCCATTAGGCACAGTGCCTAGGGCCTACGAGATATTGGGGGCCTACGAAAAATAAAACGAGAACTTTTCTTCCCCTTTTTCTACAGGTTATTATTAAATTGATACTGAGGTACTTTTTTTCCATTTATTTATTACTTAATCCTATTAGTGTCCACCACCTAGCTGTGCTTCTTGTAAACAAAACTATTTCTGTACTGTACAAGAACAGCTGATCTAACCCATTTTCTTTTACTCAATTCATGGCAAACATCACTGAATCTTATTCTTTCGACATCACATTTTATAATTAGGTACTAGCTTGTGTTATTAGTTAATATGCTGTCAAATGGGGCCCCATATCTTGGAGGTGCCTAAGGCCTACGAAAGTCTTAACCCGGCCCTGCCTTCCACTGATGATGGCCACCATCCCTACAGCAAACTTCCACTGATGATGGCAAATGGCCCTACAGCTTACTTCCACTGATGATGGCCACCATCCCTACAGCAAACTTCCACTGATGATGGCAAATGGCCCTACAGCTAACTTCCACTGATGATGGCAAATGGCCCTACAGCTAACTTCCATTGATGATGGCCACTGCCCCTATAATTAACTTTCACTGATGATGGCCACTGTCCCAAAAGCTAACTTTCATTGGTGATGGCCAACGTCCTTACAGCTAACTTCCACTAATGGTGACCACCGTTCCTACAGCTAACTTCCATTGATGATGACCACTTTCCCTACAGCTAACTTCCACTGATGATGGCCACCATCCCTACACCTAACTTCCACTGATGATGGCCACTAGCCCTACAGCTAACTTCCACTGATGATGGCCACCATCCCTTCAGCTAACTTCCACTGATGATGGCAAATGGCCCTACAGCTAACTTCCACTGATGATGGCCTACATCCCTACACCCTAACTTCCCACTGATGATGGCCACAGCCCTACAAGCTAAACTTCCACTGATGTACCATCCCTACCTAACTTCACTGATGATGACAAATGGCCCTACCCAGCTAGCTACTGATGATGGCCTGCATCCTACACCCTTCCACTGATGATGGCGCAACCCTACAGCTAACTTCCACTGTTCAGTGGCCACTAGCCCTACAGCTAGCTTCCACTGATGATGGCCACCATCCCTACACCTAACTTCCACTGATGATGGCCCTGGCCCCACCAGCTTCTTCCACTGATGATGGCCGCCATCCTACAGCTAAACTTCACTGATGATGTGAAATGGCCCTACATGCTTCCCATGATGATGGCCACCATCCCCTACACCCCTAACTTCCACTGATGGTATTTTTCAGCCCTACAGCTAACTTCCACTGATGATGGCCACCATCCCTACACCTAACTTCCACTGATGATGGCAAATGGCCCTACAGCTAACTTCCACTGATGATGGCCACCATCCCTACACCTAACTTCCACTGATGATGGCCACTAGCCCTACAGCTAACTTCCACTGATGATGGCCACCATCCCTACACCTAACTTCCACTGATGATGGCCACCATCCCTACACCTAACTTCCACTGATGATGGCCACTAGCCCTACAGCTAACTTTCACTGATGATGGCCACTGTCCCTACAGCTAACTTCCACTGATGATGGCCACCATTTAAGGGATTAAAGGATTGTATTAGAGGTCAGCTTATAATAAGAAGCAAGGAAACACAAGGCAAGGAGCAGCAGCAGGCACTGGTCATGCAGCAAGCAAACAAACTTCTGAAACAACAAGCTTGATCAAGAGCTAAAACTCAACATCGGTTCAACTTACAGGTAATGCCACTTTCTGCTACCCTCAGCTAGATAATGGTAAAGATTGCTGAAAGAAAAGGTAACACAGTGTTTAGTTCTTAAAATCAACAAATATCAAAATTACCCCATTAGAGGCAAAAATGCCTTACATCTAATACAACGATCAACAAACAGAGCTAAAAAATCATTTCATTCCTCTCAAACCAGGCAAATTCCTACACTTAAGAATATTTTGACTCTGCCCTATCGTAATGAATTTGTCCCGTTAGTTCGGTCCCTCAAACTACTAAATATTAATGTTGTTTTCAAGTATGACTCAACCATTACCAATATGTTAATTAAACATAGCCTAAGTTTGAATGTAAATGGAAGTGTTTATTGTATTCCATGTAGCAAATGTAATGGTAATTATGTAGGTCAGACAGGAAAAACATTGCAGCTCAGAATCAGACAACATAAGTACAATATCAGAACAGCATCTGAAAGCAGTGCCCTGTTCGTTCATGTTAGGAATAATAATCATCCCATTGCTTGGGAAAAAAGCTTAGAAGTATTTAAATCATCTTGTGTCATAGAAAGACTTCTGATTGAAGCTAGTTTGATTAAGGAATTAAAACCAATAAACCTCAGTGATGGTCAGTTCAAAACTGATAATATGTTACATAAATTTATTTGTCAGTGGCCCAAGGTTAAAAATGCTTTGAAAACCTTTGATCTAGATGTAGGATAGTTATTTAGTGGGTCCCTTATTTTTGACCTGACCTGACCTGACTAGTCACATCGCCTTCTCTTAAGCTCTCTCGTGTGGTGTGGGATTAGTGATATATATATATATATATATATATATATATATATATATATATATATATATATATATATATATATATATATATATATATATATATATATATATATATATATATATATATATATATATATATATATATATATATATATATATATATATATATATATATATATATATATATATATATATATATATATATATATATATATATATATATATATATATATATATATATATATATATATATATATGTATATATTATATATATATATATATTTATTTTACATACTGTACATAAAGCCACTGCTGTAGTAAGGGCACAAGTGCCACCGTGCCCGAAATCGAGTTACCACCACAGCAAGTTTCAACAAGGTTTCCTCTATTATAAAGTGTGTCCTATGTGGATGACCCAGCACTTGTTTTGAGTGAAAGTGAGGCGAGTGAACCCGAGGCTGGGCCGTCACGATGCCGTGACATCCATGCAGGCCTCACATGTGGAAGAGTGATGTTGCAAATATTTTTTGTAATGAAGGCAAGGCATACACCAGTCATATGACCAAAAAATTACGACCAGCAAGGCAAGTAGCCCCCCCCCCCATGTGCCGATGCGTGTTTCACGAAAGTTGCCTTTTTCTCTATTTTCAAAAAGTGCACTTGTACCCTTACTGCTGCGAAGGCCTCATATACTGTATCAGGAAATCTTGAGTACAATGGCTAACCCTTGTATTGATCACTACATGCGCTGGTTTTTCATTCAGTAACAAAGATATGAGGAAAATCTTTTGTTTTCATCTCATCCCCACACTACACATCACCACACCACACTACATACCAGGCTGAGCAGATTATGTGGAACATACACTTGTCCCGGGTACAGTGTACTGTACAGTATATGACTTCTGAAATTTACTTGCCAAGATATCTTTTTGACCTGCCCTAACAAATTTTTGTAGGTACTATAGTTTGCTGCCCCGGATTTTTTTATGGGAAAATTAAAATAAACATCCCAAAACATGAAAATTTATTTTGTGCATCAATTCAAAGATCACTTGCCAAAATGGTGTCATTGGGAGTAACCCTTGTCAAGTAAAGTCATAACTCCGGTCACCTCACACCTATAGGGTGTGTGGGCAGGCAGAGACGGCACTCTTTAACACCTAACCTAACTACCACCCCCACCCCAACCTATGATCTTGTGTCACTGGCAGTAACACTTGTCATGTAAGGTCATAACTCCTGTCACCTCCCTTGTACAGCCTCTCAGCTTGGTGTTTCCTTTGAAATGTTGAAAAAGTGACAGACTGACTAGAGGCAGGTTGGTGGCTTTATGTTGAGAAAAATTACCTGCGCCTGACATAGGTCACTAATCCTCACAAAATAATTAGCTTTTCCACACGACAACTGAACATGAAAAATCACTTGCTCGGCCCCCCTTCTCTAGGCATGCTGGACTGCCAGGCACAGCTAATCTGCAATCTGCTACATTACTAATTGGTTTTGCAAATATTCTCACTACATATTGTTTATATCTATACAGTATTTTCTGCATATTTACTGTTTCCTCCTACTTTTTTCCTTTAATCTTGTTTAGATCACTTTCTTTACACTGCCTTCACAAAAACTTTAAATTCCTGTAATCCAAACAAATGTCAACGGCTTTATTTACATAAAAACAAAAATTATGTGGGTGCTGTTGCTTTACTATTACAGAACAACACTATATCATACATACATATATATACAGGTACTATAAATATAAATAATGGTTGCCCCTCATACTTGCAGATGTCTGGCTCTAAGACCAGCGAGGCTTGAATTTGTTTAAGGTGTAGAAGTTGTCGCTAATACAATAACCACACACCTAAGTTAACGATCTGCATGATCCAGGGTCAAGGAATAATCTGAGATCAGACAACTCATCAATTGCACTGGCTAACCATTACCCCAGAATACGATCCAAAAATTTATTAACATCCAGGTTCCCAATTACTGCTGGGTCGACAGGCAAATGGTGTAAAGAAACTTGCCCATAGTTTCACCCTGTCTGGGGATCAAACTAGGGAACCACTCACTTACAAGGCAAACATGCTGACCACTACACCACAGGTGTACATACATACATAGATACATACAGTATACAGATACATACATACATATACATACTGTACGTACAAGGTGTCTTATAAGACTCGCACCATAGGAAAATTAGTGTTCTTTTTTTTTTATCTTTCTTTTGCAGGTGAAGGAATCATATAAAAATCAACTAAAATGACAGAGAAATCAACAGGAGGAAAGAATCAGTTTAATAATCATGTTAGGAGAGCCAGATGCTACACACTTATCAGAATGCACCCGACAACACCCAGGCATATGGGTGTTGTCAGTTAACTTTCCTGCCATCTCCAGTGATATGTTATGATTCCCTCACCTGAAAAAGAGAAAAGGGAAGAGAATGCTAATACACTATTCCCTATGGCATGTAACCTTTGAGACACAACACTGTACATCAAATACTCATCTTGGAAAGAAACACAAAGTACAGTACAGGCATACTGGATAGACACATAGTATATGGGATGGACACATAGTATATGGGATGGACACATAGTATATGGGATGGCCACACAGTTTACTGGATGGACACATAGTATATGGGATGGCCATACAATATACGGGATGGCCATGCTGTACACTGGATGAACACATAGTTTACTGGATGGACACATAGTTTACTGGATGGACACATAGTATATGGGATGGCCACACAGAATACTGGGTGAACACATAGTATATGGGATGGCCATACAGTATACTGGATGGCCACACAGTATACTGCATGGCCACACTGGGTGGATACATAGTATACTGGATGGCCACACAGTACACTGGATGGCCACATAGTATACTGGATGGCCACAAAGTATACTGGATGGTCACACAGTATACTGGATAGCCACATGACATACTGGATGGACACAGTATACTGGATGGCCACAGTATACTGGATGCCCACACAGTATACTGGATGGCCACACAGTACACTGGATGGTCACACAGTATACTGGATGGCCATACAGTACACTGGATGGCCACACAGTACAGTATAGTCTGCATTTAAGTGGCTTTTGTTACGCATTTGGTCATTTACGCGGTGCCTTGCCAGAATGAAAATGCTTTAATTACGCGGCTGGAGAGGTCCAGACTGCCGCGCCATTTTTTACCCACGCGGTCCATTCTTAACCAGATGCGGGAAGCGGCGCGGTGAGTGGTGCGCATTGGGTCGCTCTTACGTTATCGCTGACGTCATATGACGTATCGAACTGTGATTGGGCCACGCATCCTTACCACCCACGCATTCCCTCCCCCGCTAGCTGTGATTGGTCTAATGTAACATGACGTGCCCTGCCACCAGAGGGTAGAAGTCGCTGACCTAGCAGGGCCTGTCTCATTGTTCTCAGTCATCGTTTACAATTCTCTCTTGTGCCCGCTATTCCCCTCACAATGGCTTCCGCGGGACCCCCACCAGCCGAGAAAAACATTGAATTACCTGGACCAAGCCATGATAATGTGAAGGAAATCATCGAGTAGGGGGAGAAAATTAAGCTCATCCTTGACAACGACCCAGACAAGCATCGGTATGAAGTGTCTAATAACCATCTGGCAAAAGTTATGGAGCCGTATATCCAGATCTATCTCGACCACACCAATGCTAGTCGTCAACGTAGTATTGAGGACTTCCTCGCCCGCAACCCACCACAACCACAGCCAGCCCAAGTCAGTGATAGTGATATTGACAGTGAGGATATGGACTTTGAGAGGTTTGTCTGGGAGGCCCTGCAAACCTGTGCGAGTAGTGAAAGTGAATGTGATTCACCGGAGGGCAACTAATCTGCCCTCTGCCTCGGAACCAGCCCCCATCCACGTGTGCCGACCCAGCTTTTCTACTAACTTAAGTGTTAAAAAACCTAATATTATTGATATTTCTCTTAATTATTAATTGTGTGTGCATACCATCATAAAATTAAGATGTTATTTTTACTACAAGGTACATATTGTGTCAGAAAAAGTGTAGTTTGGGGGTCGGCCCAGTCTCTATTTCAATTAATCCAATATGATCTGTTATTTCATTTACGCGTTTCTCGTTTTACGCGGTACTCCACGGGTTCAATTGACCGCGTAAATGCAGACTATACTGTATAATATATGGCCACACAGTATACTGGATGGCCAACTAGTACATTGGATGGCTAACTAGTACA